CACTAATCATCAGGGAAATGCAAATCAAAACAACACTAAGATATCACCTCACACCCGTTAGAATGGCTATACAACAAGACAAAAAACAACAAATGTTGGAGAGGATGTGGAGAAACAGGAACCCTCATACACAGCTGGTAGGAATGCAAACTGGTGCAGCCTCTATGGAAAATGGTATGGAGATTCCTCAAAGAATTAAAAATAGAAATACCCTATGATCCAGCTATCCTATTACTGGGACTCTATCCAACGAACCTGAAATCAACAATCCAAAGAAGCTTATGTACCCCTATGTTAATTGCAGCATTATTCACTATAGCCAGAAGTGAAAGCAACCTAAGTGTCCTTCGACTGATGACTGGATCAAGAAGATATGATATATATATATATACAATGGAATACTACTCAGCCATAAAAAAAGACAAAATTGTCCCATTTGCAACAACATGGATGGGGCTGGAGGGTATTACGTTAAGTGAAATAAGCCAGAAAGAGAAAGACAAACACTGTATGATCTCACTCATATGTGGAATATAAACCAACACATAGACAGAGAAAACTGTATTGTGCTTACCAGGGGCAATGGGGGTGGGGGGGTGCACAAGGGGTGAAGGGAGACATATATATGGTGATGCACAAACAAAAATGTACAACCCAAAATTTCACAATGTTATAAACTATTAAAATATCAATAAAAAAAGGAACTAATTAAATAAAATACAGTATATCCACACACAATGGAATATCATACAACCATTTTATAAAATGAGGTAGGTCTATATTTCTTGATACAAGATGTACAAGATACATTAAATGAAAAATGCAAAGTGCAAAATAGTACATATATAGTATAGTCCCATGTGTGTAAAGAGGAAAAAAAGGGGCAGAGATAGGTATTACATAGGCTTGAAAATTTCTGGAAGAATAAACGAAAAACTGCTTATGAGGGGGGCTGGGAAGTCAGAGCATTTTACTTTTTACCTTATATGCCTTTTTGTACCTTGTGACTTTTTACTACTATGAACATATATATTACTTTTTTTATAAAAAATAAGCTTAGAAAAAGTACCAC